CAGTCTTTGCCTAACCATAACCAGCAGCTGTCAGTGCCTAAATCTAACCATGAAAAAGCTGAATAACGCTGTAGTCACTGCACTGGACTCAACGCAAACCGTCACACACTCTCGTATGTGTAGACCACAATGAGTCAAGATTAGAAGATTCTGTATGGGTTCACAATGACCAGGTCAAAGGGGCGTGTAGGCTAGCTAACGTTAACTTTTTAAGATACATTCAAGTCACAGTTTCCCTCAAAAATAATTCTACTGCAAACATGAATTTATGTTTAACCACTGATATAAGCACGTGTTTGAGGCTGGTGACCAGAGCAGAAAATATTAGGTTAGCATAGCAATGTAGCTTTGCTATTTATTAGAAAATAAGTTAGTGTTTTGTTTGCCACCTGTTTAAAGGGTTAACACTAGTTTGGGTCCAAAGCAACGTAGTGAATATACCGGCTACTTCCATGTTCTGCAAGGTAAATGTACTGTTTTTGATCATGTAGTCTGCTGTAGAGCGATATAACAGCTGTTGTTGGTTAGATAAACAGGCTCTTCATGACTCTTTATCAAGAAGGTTTATCTCTCTAGGATCCTTTTTATAAAGATTGTCAGACATAAAATCAGTTTTGGGCTGGGTGTAATGGCTGGAATCATGCATATATCAGCCTGGAGGTGGAAACTTGCATCAGGAAATTGATAACTGACTAACCTGTAGTGTTGGTCTTCACCATGGATCACAACATGTTCATCTCTCTTGGCCTTTGGAAATTTCATTTGAAAACGCAGCTCTCAGAATTCTCATTAAAATGCAATGCAGCCAGGAACAGCCTGATATAAGAAGGATTTGTATGAGGTTATTCCAAAGTAAGTTGTAAAGGGATAGAAGAATACGGTTAACATTAGTGGGACCAGTGCATGGCAGAGTTACATACTGACACCAGCAAATAAACAGGTCTTATGTGAAATATATTAAGTATCACAGGCAAGGTATTCACACTATAACACTTAACAACATGACTAGAATACAATTTACCTGCAGAGCATCCCTGAGTATGAGAAGGCCACATGTTTGCGTGCAGAACGCAGAATGACCCTGTGGAACCCCTCCAAGTCTGATGTTTGGTAGAGAGGGCTCAGCTTTTACACATCGCCAAGAACACGCTTGTTCATCAGTGCCTTCTCCAGCTTGTAGGTGGCCTTTGTTGCTAAAGGGGGAAAGACAATCACAAAAACATAAAAGATTATGAATGCATTACAACAGAGTACATTACATAATTGTAGTCAATGACATAATTGCTATTAAACAGTGGCGTACCAGGCTTCAGCCATTTCTTTTTGTCTGTGAAACAGGGGTGAAGGCACTTGGGGAATAGTGGATTTTGATGAAAATGCACATTCTGGATGTGGTTCACAAGAGATGTCCACTTTGCCACTGTTTCCTCTCCACTGAATGAACCGCATGCTGACCAGTAAAGGTGATTTTTTTATGCTCTTCTGTCACAATTTCACCTTATTGCAGTCCTTCTCCTTGGATACGGCCCCCACCTTCTTGGTGATTGCTGAGAAGAGTTTGACAAAATGTAAGTGTGTGTTGAAGGAACAGGAGTAGCTGTTACAAATATTCTGTACATTTTCCACTACATTTTGCAAATCATCTCACTTTTACATAAATGTCAGACATCATAAAAGTGGTCAATGTGTGGTTTCTGTTCCCGGAGAAACTTTTGAGCCGTTTCTCAAGATAATCCAGACTCCGGATCAGCTCTTCCTCCTCCATTCGGACACCGCTTCCCACGTCATTGCTCTGTGGATCATAAAACAGACATAAAATTCCTTTTCAGTAAAGTTAAAAAATAATAATCCGGACAGATAGTGTGACATTAGTCATTATTTGGTAATGATACATTTTACAATTCATTTTTTACTGGAAAAAAACCTAAAAATGATGATGTCGCTATTTCTGAGGTCTGGACCAAACAAGCATGTTGTCTTATGTGAGGTGAATATGAAGTGAATGTCTGGGCAGCTCAGGAGGGCCACAGTCCTGCATTTATAAACCTTCATTGTGAGCTCTGCAGTAACTCTTTACCCTTTTCCACTGTGGGGGATCATCACAGATGAGGAGTAGCTTTAGCTTTGAGACGACTGAAACATGTATTCACAATAATGTGACAACTCAAACAAATAAATACAATAAATCCACAACTGGAGGATCCCGCATTCATTTCTAAGAACATAAAACATTAGCTCTAGATTAGCAGTGTGTTTCCTGTGGGCTCCGCTCAGGGAGTAAAGCTAATACAGCAATACACACTGACATTAGCTAACCTTATACAATAAACTCATGTTAGATATATAATTATAAGCACAGAGTAACTTACACTTGGCGGGACGGGAGGATGAAGTCGGGGAGGAAGACTGTCGGCATACTTAAGCTAGCTAACAAAGGCTGTGGCTCATAAGAAGAAGCGGCTGTAACATATATGTATATATGTCTATGGTTGTAATGACTCAATAATGACTCAATAATGACTCAGGATAAGACTCAGATAGATGACTCAATTAGACCTCAATATATGACTCAATAAGGAGACTCAATAATGAGGCGGGGGAAACCGGCGAGGGGAGTTCGTGCACGCCTTTTATACTGCTACAGGTGGCTCGAGACATACTTGTAGCCCCGCCCACAGAATCCGGAACCCAAAACCGTGAAAAAGAGAAAATGTTCAGTTCAGTAGCACATAGTTCAGTCTTTAATAATGTGTTCAACAGCTATTTAATGACACACAGGGGCGGACTGGCCATCTGTG